CCACTCTGTGCCTAATAGACCTGTAACTAGATTCAGTTCCAAATGCTCTGAGACCCATGTTGTGGTTCAAGGCCAAAAGCCATCTGCTGGAAGAATTTTCTCTTGCTCAGGGGATGTCAGTCTTTGTTCCATTCAGTCCTTCAACTGATTGAATGAGACACACCTGCATGAAGAAGAGCAATCTGCTTTACTCAAAGAGTCCACAAATTTAAGTGTTCATCTCGTCCAAAAACACCTTCACAGAAACATCCAGAATAATGACTGACCCAATATCTGAGCACCATGGCATGGCCAATTGACACATAAAATGAACCATCACAAGTCTACCCCTTGTCCACTTGGAGCTCATACATATCTCCTTAAACCAAACAATCTCCAAATGAAGTTAATAACAAGGTGACACTTCCACTTAACATGATATCTTGCATACAACCAGAAATGCACTAACCCCTTCCCCCAAAGACAATACGAAGTCCTTGCATGACATTTATGCTTCTCCTTGATATCCTGTAACTAAATACTATGATGTAAAATTTACAATACTTAAATACTATGTTATAAAGTCAGTATATCTTATGTTACATGATACAGGGATACCTGCACACACACACACACACACACATTCATAACAAAATAAGGAGGAAATAATTATACTCCTCATTCTGTAACTGGTCACATGGTCATGACTGGTATTTATGACTATCTTCTTTCAATTACCATTCTTTGTTCCCTTTTCCCTCTGCAAGCACTTCACTTGGTCTTGGTTCTTTACCTGTGGACCCAAACCTTCCTTCCTGGAGGCTCTTGGCCATTAGTAGCCCTGCCTGGATTGGGCTATTTTAGTTTCCCACTGACCTTAATCACAGGGCAGGGTAGTACTAGGAGACACCCTAAAGGAGCTCCTATATTTCAGACATAGTCTTCCTCACCACCATTGTGGAACAGAAGTCCAATTGCTCCTTGGTGGTCAATCCTTTAAAAAAAGTATCCATCCCTGACCCCACTGCAGAAAATTGAGAGCTTGTCTGTGGTGGTGGGGCCTAGGTAATCGAAGCTTGAAAGATCTCTGTAGTGATCATAATATATGTCCAGAGCTGAGATCCATTAACCTCATGGGAGAAGCAGAAAGGGAAACAGGTGGGGAGAATATGATGCAATTATGGCTGGAGTAGGTGGGCAGAAAGGACACATCATTCCTGCTGTGGATGCATTTGAGGAAGTCCTTGATGGGAACAAAGGCAGCATCACAAAATCTAACAAATTAAAGGTCCCCCTCAAAAATATGGGATAATTTGTGAAAGAATAAAATTAGCCTTCACTTGAGAAGTGTGAAGGGAGAAGAGACAATTACCAGGATCATGATTCAGAGGATAGTCCCACATTAGGCAAAGGATTTTTAAGCAAAGTCCCTGGAAGCTCCATTTTCTTCCAATACAAGAGGAAGCAGATACACTGGCCTGAGTTTTCTCCTCACAGCTGATAAGGCTTCTACACTATTGGCTAATAAGTATACTCAATTTCCCTATTACTCAAAGATATGGAAATTAAAACAAGACTCCTACCCATCAGGGTAGTGTTCTTGGCACACTGATAGGTGTGTGATTAAGGCAGCCATTTTGACACCACTGGGCCATTCTTCAGGCTATCAGGAATGCATATGGCTGCAAGTTGGAATGCCCTCTCCTGGGGGTAGGCTCCTGAGAAAGCTTGCATAGGTCCACCTGGCGATCACACACGCATCTCCAATCATGTGTGTTAAACACATCAGACTAGGTGCATGTGGAGAGGGGATGGGAAGAGAGATGAGGAATGAAAGGAAAAAATTAACCCAAAGACTTAAAGTCAGATAGGAGCCTTGTAAGACCAGTTATGGTAGCATGCCATGAACTCCATGCTATGGAGTATAATTAACTAGATGCTCTCCATCTGAACTCCAATTTACTTACTTAATTAATTACTTCAACTCAGCTTCTCAGGGCCAGTTCATCCCTTGGCACTGACAAAAGGCAAGTCTGAGCCTTCCGGGCCAGGGCCAGTTTCAACCAGGCCTGCCTCAGATGATGTAACTATAGAACATGAATGCAAATCATTTCTACAGGTAATATTTTTAAAAATCCTGTCATTCTGATGAGTGGAAAATGGACAACCAGATCTTGGAAGATACACAAGAATTTAAAAATTAGAGCTTTCCTTAAAAGGCAAATGTTCTTTGTAAAGTGAAGATCTAGCACCCCCTGTTGATGCCCAAGAAATCCTGAACTGTCATAAGATGGGGCTCAGTAATGAGGCTGGGAGAATTATGACCTCCCCCAAATGTCCACATCTTAATCTCTGGAACCTGTGAATATGTTGCCTTACAAGGCAAAAGGGACTCTGAAGATGTGAATAAGATCAAATACCTAGGGATGGGAGAGACTATCCAGGATTGTCCTGGTGGGCCCCATGTAATCACACAAGTCCTTAAACACAGGGAACCTTTCCTGGCCATCATCAGAAAGGAAGATGTGACTGCAGAAGTAAGGTAAGAGAGAGGTGCTGTTGATGACTTTGAGGATGGAGGAGGGGACCAGAGGCTAAATATTGCAAGTGGCCTCCAGGAGCTAGAAAGGCAAGAAAATGGATTCTCCCCTGGAGCCTTCTGAAAAGAATGCTGCCCTGCCAACATCTTGACTTTGGCCCAGTGAGACTCATCAGACTTCTGATCTATGGAATCATATGGCAATACATTTGTGTGGTTTCAGGCCACTACGTCTGTCATAATTTGTTATAGCAGCAACAGAAAACTAACACAGTAAACACAACTTGACCTAACTTGATCTAGACAATCTAGAGTTAGCTTTTTTTTTCTTTCTTTTTTCTTAACTTTTCCTGCTAAAACCCTACAGAGTCTTCAGGAGTGTGATTCACATGAGTCAGGACTGTGGGAAGTTCACAGAATGTTAGAATTGGAAGCCATCACAGAAGTAACCCAGTCCAACTGCCACCCAAAGCCAGAATCTCTCCTACAGCATTTTTGACTGTTGGATGCTCAGCCTCTGCTTGAACCTCAGGAAGAAAGCTGTAGCTTCAGGTCCACCCACGTCTACATTACTGAATTTTTTCTTCACAGCTGACTTAGTTCTGCTGTAAGAAAATATTCCTCAGGACAAAGTCTGTGCATTGCTTGAGGGCTCTATTAGAAAGTCTTTTCTTGCTATGAACCAAAATCTACTGCCTTAAAATGCCCATGTTTTGGCATTACTTGTACCCCTAAGGCAACATAGAACAGAAGACACAGGGTATACACAGGGCCTTACAAAGATTGGGTTCAGAAAACAGGCTAGCTGGGGCGCCCGGGTGGCTCAGTCCATTAAGCATCTGCCTTCAGCTCAGGTCATGATC